GGGGCAGGACAAAAAGCATGGGGAGTGGTGACCTCTGACCAGCAGGACTTAAATAAAGCTCACATTGAGCATGTCACCCCTATTCAGTCAGTCAAAGGGCATTTACTCAGGGATCATCATTCAACTGGAATTCACCTTTTTCAATAGGATTAGGAAATCTTCCCCCCTCCTCTTACCAAATAAGAATTTTCAAAAAATTTAAATTTAGTTTGACGTTTCCAGGGGAAATATCAACACCTGTTAAAGTAGATCTATATGATAGAAATCAAGTGGGGAGGTTCTCAGATAGACTGTCAGCTTCCTAGGTAGATCTTACAGCTGTCAACTCGGTAGAGGTTGAGCCAATGTAGGGTGGCTCAGATCGTGAAGCGAGAGCTCTTGTCCAAAGCCTGAGGCATAAGTCACTGTCAAAGCCGGCCTCTTCATTCTGCCCATTCAGCCTTAGGAGTTTCCATCTTCCTATAAAGAGTAGTGAGGTATGAAGTTAAAAAGGTTTGGACAAGCGTTTGGGAGCCTCTGAAGCTTATCTGAACTAACCAAGTCTCACGAAGCCATAAATCTCCAAAGACAGCTTCCCGGAGTGGCACACTTCACTGTGTACCGTGTCTGGGCTTGGCTGCAGTCCAGCAGAGATGTGTGAACTGGCAAGATAAAACCAATGTAAGCAGTGTCCTCCCCCCCCTGGACATCTCACTGTCTGACACTCGGGAGCATAACATTTTAGGATTTTGTTTGCCTGCTTAGAGCAGCGCTACATTGAATGATCATTGAGGAGCCAGCATGGCCCTTGAATTTTGTCTTCTATCTGTGGCTGGCTTTCTTATTGACTTGAAGGAAGAAGTGTGAGCCATGATATAATTACTCTAATTGTAATTATTACCACCATTGTCACAAACCGTAGACTCCTTGATTTCCTGTCCTATGCTTCTCAATATATCTAGGGACCATGTGCACTTGCTTGCTTCAAAAGTAGATTCTTGGGATCCTTCCGAGGAAATGGAATCAGAATCTTGGTCACTTTCCAAGTGTCCAGTAAAGTCACTTACCCTCTCTAAGCCTGTGAATGGCCGCTCTGACTGACAATTACCTTACCAGTAAAAGGTAATAATAATAATATTGTCAGTTCTGTGCTATCATAAAGGATTAAAAACCATAAACACATTTGATTAGGTAAGACAATCTATGAAATTCAGCTTTTTCTAGTTCAAAGATACCTAGCGTTAGTTGTGTGGTCTTGGGACACGTACTTCATCTCTCTGTGCCTCAGTTATCTCATCTGTAAAATGAGCAGAACGATGAAGAAGTTGAGCTGATATAGATGAGGTGCTCAGAGCAGTACATGCCTAGTAAGTCTGGTACATAGCAAGCATGTGTATGTTTTCGTTATCACAATTTGGTATTTGTTCAGCAGTGGTGACATCAGGGAGGCAGGAAACCTGGGTTTTAGCCCCAACCCTGCACTCGGTGAACTTGCAGAAGTCACTTCATCCTCTGTCATCAGTTTCCTTCTCTGTAAAATGAGGGAGTTGACGAGACCATCTGTTGAGCTCCAACATGTTCAGACTGAATACCTACCCTCCACTGTAAGCTGCAAGGCCTAGAGCAGGCTCTCGGGCTTACAGATAGTTTTGAACTTCTGATCCCCCGCAGGTCTGTCAAGGCTCTGCCTCGATGCCCATGGAGAACCTGCCTCTGTGTCCGGGTGTCTGCAGGGCAGCACATGTGTTTACTTTTCACCAAGACCTGTTCCTCTGCCAGCCCCTCAGAGCTGCTGCCTCCAGCTTCCTGGAGGGAAGAGAGGGAAAGACAGTGTTTTTATTTTTCTGCCCTGCTGTGTCTTCCTTCCTTGGAGATCCCTTCTGAGAAAGGTCAAAGCAGAATTCTGTCACTGCCACTGCTAATATGGGAAATGCCAACCGATGGAAGGATGGCCCGTGTCAGGGGAGGTGCCTGCCCCTGGGAGTCCGGGACAATACTGTCAAACCTGGCTCTTTCTCCAGCCCGGGGTCACTCCCTCTGCCCCAGAGAGCTCATTACAGACACCTTGACTGCGGTGGTAGGCAGATGGAAGTGGGGACAGTAACTAAAACATGATGGGAAATCTAAGAAAAAGAAAAGGCAACAAAATGGAGTAAGTGGTTTCATTTAAGATTTTATGACAAACTGGAGTAGTGTGTTTTCTTGCTGTTTCACTTTTCTGCTGCGGCTAGGGGGACAAGAACAGTTACACCTCTTTCCCCTAAGAAGGGAACTTCTATCCTCTTTCCCAGTGCAGGGCAGGGTTTTAAAAAGGCTGCTTCCACTTCCCTTCTTTTATTTATTTTTTAATTACACTTTACAGTCAACATTATTCTGTATGAGTTTCAGGTGTACAACAGAATGGTTAGCCAATCATGTACTTTATAGACTGTTCCCCCCAATATTTAACGTACCCACCTGGCCGCATACATAGTTATTATAGCATTATTGACTGTATTTCCTGTACTTTACATCTCTGTGACTGTCCTGTAACCATCCGTTTGCTTAATCCACATCCTTTCATTTATTTGCTTTGGTCCCCTTCACCTTCTTATTTGCTCCTTCCCAAAGGTAGAGGGATGAGGATGTGTCTGTCAGACATTCCATGGCTGTACTTACTATGAGGCAAAGCTGTGAGCCTTAAAGTAGAGCCCCAGGAATCAAGGAACCACCCTTTTCTTTTTCTTTCTTTCTTTCTTTCTTTCTTTCTTTCTTTTTTTTTTTTTTTTTGCAAAGCAAGCAAGTGTTTATTGCCTGCAACAAAAACACACTTAGCAGAGGGAAACTAGGAAGGGCATAGAAGAAGCAAAAGGAGAGCCCAGGCTGGGCTGCTTTGGCTCACTGGGAAGTCATAGAAAGGGGGGACCCAGGACGACCTGCTGCTGCCTATTGCTCCCCTAGCTGCAAGTCTCCTGGGGTCCCTCAGAGGTCAGGAGATAAGTGCCTGTGGGGGGAGGGGAAGGAAGGGGAGGCTGACAGGCTGGGATGTGATCCTCTGGGGGAGAGCACACCTCTTTTCTCTGTCCAGGCCCAGCAAGTTTTCTTCTGTTTCTTGTTCTAGGTGAGTGTCAGGGTTAGCAGGAAGGGACTAGCAAACAGAGAGAAAAACACCTGGTTACAAGTACCGCAGACCCGTGGAGAGTGTTTGATGTGAGGTTCACATGCATATCCTGAGCAATTTTTTCCAAATGACTGGATCATTGATTGCTTCCACTGTCCATTAGAATCAATGAGGTAGAACACTCTCGTCACTCCTACCAAATCTACCACGTGTGGTTTGGCATTTCAGCCAAAAGGAGCTAAGCCTTTCATTGACTTTATGTTGCAACCTAAGCACTACAACTCGTCTTAGAAGAGAGTTCAATGAACATCCCACCGAATCCCCTGTAACATTCTCTTTTCAACTTTCTCTACTACATTTTACTACTACCTGTAGTCCTGCAATTTCTATTTGAACTTTCCAGAAATGAAATATTCAATCTTCCACAGATTATTTTGTTTTTAGACAGGTATAAATATTGGTAGTTGCTTTCTTTGTTACTTCTTTATAAATTCCTCTTGAAAATGTTCCCCCCTTTTAGAGTCAAAAATTGAAATACCTTTTCATATGACAGTGTTTTAAGTATTGGGTCGGCAACTTAAATGGTTCCTACACTAGGCTATGCTTATAGTAATCTCAGTGGCTGGTAACAGCAGTTTGTGACTTGTACACACATGTCCTTCATGGGTCACCTGGGGACTCTGCATTACCCTCAATACGTTGACGGAACAGCTCCTACTGATAGCTTGCTTTTAGCATCTACTAGTGGAGTGAACATTTAATGACCAAAGAGTTAGTGTAAAATAAGTAATTATTTTTTTAATCTTCACCCAAAGATATGTTGACAGGGGAAGAGAATGAGAGAGAGAGAAAGAAACACCAAATTTAGCTTTAAGATTGTTAGTGGGAGCCCTCTTGTTGGAAGTAAACATCTTAAGTGTGATGGATGCCTGATATTTACCAGTGTGACTTACCTGTCACCACGTTCCACCCATTTCAAATGTGGATGCAGTTAAAGATCTCACATTTTGCCTTCTTACTCATTATTCTTAGCATTGCTCTTTTGCTTTCAGAAAAAAAAATAGAAAAAGAAAATGTGATTAACATGACCCCGTTCTTATCGTTAAACATAAGCTGACATTGTAGAAACTATAGACACAGATTCTAGGTATTCGCCAGGGAGGCCATCTGCCAGCAGGAGTGGGGACATTTTTTCTGCAAGGGCCCTTTGGATATTTATAACATCATTCATAGGCCATACAGAATTATCAGCTTAAAAATTAGCCGGCTATATTTGGTCACACATTTTATTAACTCATCCCTAATGCCTTGGCAGGGCCGGGCCAAATGATTTTGTGGGCTGTATAAGGGCTGGATGTTCCCCACCTCTGTGCTATCAGAAAAGAGCACTGGAATGGGAGTCAGTACAGCTGCTTTCAAATTCCAGGTTTCAGCCCTAGCTGATTTGGCTCAACGGATAGAGTGTTGGCCTGGGGACTGAAGGGTCCAGGGTTCAGTTCTGGTCAAGGGCATATGCCCAGGTTGTGGGCTTGATCCCCAGTAGGGGGCGTGCAGGAGGAAGCCAATGGGTGACTCCCATCATTGATGTTTCTATCTCTCCTTCTCCCTTCCTCTCTGAAATCAATAAAAATATGTATTTTTTAAAATTCCAGGTTTCATTCTCTAGACAGCGGCTTCTGCAAGTCACTCATGTCCTTTTTGGTCTTACTGGTCTTCTCTGACAATTATGCAAATTATTAGTCACTACTGCATCACTATAGAAACTAAAGGAATCTTACATCCTGTAGGCTACAATCCTAGACTGCTGTGCTTTTGTTCCAGACCAAGCGTGTAGCATCAGCTCTTTCTTATAAAGTTTGCACGGCCTTTAGCTACTGTGGATGCACATTAATTTAAAGTAATAACTTCTCTTCTCTTGTAGTGCATAGTATGGGACTGGGATTCCAATGGCAAACATGACTTCATTGGAGAATTCACCTCGACATTCAAGGAGATGAGAGGAGCAATGGAAGGGAAGCAGGTACGTGGTAAACCATTCGTAGCCTTTTCCCGGACACTTCTCTCTGGATGCACCCAGCTATGCACAAATAGCTGGAGGAGAGACATCAATATGTGATGAAATGGGATGATCAGGCGTATAGTGAGATTTCAGTACCTAGTTTCAAGGACTAGCCCAACCCAAGGCAATTGGTGAGACTGTGACCTTGGACAAGACACCACCCCAGTGTGGTGGAGAGGCCAGGGAAAGTTGATTCTGATAGCTCAGAAGAAAAGGAGTTTGGGATTTTCTTCTAAATGTTATCTTTACCCTTGCCAGTGGGGCCCAGAGATTGAGTGTCAACCCATAAACCAGGAAGTCATGTTTCATTTCCTGGTCTGTGTATATGCCTGGGTTATGGGCTTGATCACCGGTGAGGGGATCCGGAAGGTGGTTGATTGATTATTCTCTCCCATCATTGATGTTTCTATCTCTCTTTCCCTCAACTTTCCTTTCTCTGAAATCAATAAAAATATATTTTAAAAAATAAAAAATAAGGCTGGCGATCTCCTGATTTCAGAGTCAGGTTGTGGGCTTGATCCAAGGCATCAAGTACAGTTAACCCTTGAACAACAAGGGTTTAATTCTTTACTCTTTTCCTTGCATTATTCTTCTTTTTCTTAAAAGAAGGAGTTTTAGAGGCCTCTTAACCAGTACAATATTTTTCTCTTCCAAACCTTTATGTGGTTGCCCATTCTCAAATAGAACTTCCCCAAAAGTGAGAAATTACCATATCAGTTATCTGTATCTGAGAAACAAATTATGCCAAAACTGGCTAAAAAAAAATATCATTATTTACTAATGAGTCTCTGGATTGGCAAATTAGGCTGAGTTCAATTGGAATAGCTCCTCTCTGCTAACATGATGCCAACTGAATTCACTTAAGCATTTGGCCCCAGCAGCTGGAATTTTTCCACATTTTAATTTACCGAGAGTCCAACCTAACCTGTTTATGTGGTGGGGAAAACTTCTCAACACCAAGCCCCAATGTACAGGCACTTTTTAGTCCTCTGCTGCTGTCACTTTTGCTAATGTTTCGTTGGTCAAACTAGTCACCTGACTTAGCTCAGCATCATTGTGGGAAGAAACTACACAAATGCATATACACTGAAAGGAATGGATCTCTGTGGACCAAACCTGTATCACTCTCTCCTACTCACAACTGCCTCTGAGATCACTTCATTCTCAGGCACTTGTCAGAGAGTGAAAATTGTCTTCTGCGTGGAAATCCAAGGATCCAGCTCCCATACAATTGTGGGCAGGTTCATTCAATGACCCTTGGGAGTTTGACTGGCAATTGACTTTGTCCCATAAGGTCTGTTTCCCTAGGTATCCCCTTAACTACCTCCTCAGTCCCCAGACATCCCTGTAGTTCTGATCCTGTCCTTCAAAGATCTCTTTGGAGATCTAGTGTGCATTGTTGTGACATGTATTAATCTATTATTTTAGTTCTCAGTGAAGTTCTCTGTAAACTCATTATTTTCCCCACTAACTTCCTATAGCCGGTTTTCAATATTCCTCAGTTTTTCTACCTTTTAATTCATTTCCCAGGCACTAAGACTCAGCACTTGGTTTACTCTACTGTGTGTGTTCAGATCTCTTTTTTACTCACATGCTTGATTGGACCCTATTAATAGTAAGCATTTATAAGTATTAGGTATTGTCCTGACACTGTATTACATAGATTAATTATTCAATTCGCCTATCAAATAGATATAATTATAAGCTACATTTTACAGTGGAGCTATCCAAGGCATAGAGGAATCAAGTACAGTTTACCCTTGAACAACAAGAGTTTGAACTGAATGAGTCCACTTACAGTGAATCTTTTCTGTACTGTTTTCAGTCCCTGGTTGGGAGTCCATTGATGTGGAGGGCTGTGTGTATGCATTGATTTACACCTTTTATAGGGGGAACCTGAGCATCCATGGATTTTGTTATTGCGGGGATCCTGGAATCAATCCTTGTGGATTCCAAGGGTAGTTAAGTTTTGGGGGATTCCAAAGTTATACACCGATTTTCTAACAACCTTTGCATTGTTTAAGGGTCAACTGTAATTTGCCAAAGGTCACTCAGCAAGAAAATGGAGAAGCTGGGATGCAAATCATGCAGTCTGATATTACAGTCTTACTGTCAACCACTCTTCTTATGTTTCCCCTAGATGCTAGGGTTATCACTTGGAAACCATTTGTCAGGCCTCAGTTTCATCTGCAGCAGCACCTGGGGGCTTAACCTCATCAAATGATTCCACTTCTTCCTGAGCAGGCAACCATGCTGTGACTCTTCTTGTTGCAGGTGCAGTGGGAGTGCATCAACCCCAAGTACAAAGCCAAGAAGAAGAATTATAAGAACTCAGGCATTGTGATTTTGAATCAATGCAAGGTATGTATATAGCTTGTCTTTCAGGAGTATAAAGCTAAGGTGTCTGGAAAAAAACAGTTCACGTTGTGTAGTCAGAGGGAGAAAATGTCAAGGAGATGTAATTTTTTTTTAAAGTAAAAATCGGGAAATCAATGTGTTAATGGACATACAGTGAGAAATGAATGCATAGGTGGTCTTGGAGCTATGGAAGCCCAATGCCACCATTCCCTCCACAAGGATAGTCCTGTGCCCAAAGTTAGGAGAGTCTTGGTCACAAGTCAAGGCTCTTCTCTCCCCAAGGCAGCATCAGAGGGAGTTCCCCAAAGGGGCACCCAATCTTTCCAAAGTACCTACCATGTATCTATCACAGTGTTCAGTGTTTTGCTAGTATATGTGGTACCTTACCTCATTTTTGCTGGAAAAATTCTAGGAAAACAAGACAATGGGATAAGGTGAAAGGACCTCAAAGTTCCTCCCAGTGGGTCTCTAACTTCACAGAAAATTCTGTGCTAATAAGTAAACCCCTTAAGTTGCAGCTAAGAATAATTCTGCCACTGGTTGAATACTTACTATACAACAGTAACTATAATAAACCCTATTTACTCTTATCACAATATTGAGATTTCCACTTTCAAATGAGATCATTCACAAATCATTGTTTTAATCATGTATTTTATTTTTTTATGATACTTTGATGTCTAGGGGCCTTGTAGACACTGGGAGAGACTGCCTCTCCTAGATTTAGCTAATTCCTAGAGACAGAGGCTGATTAAAATCACACCTAAACCATAAGGGAGGGGAGCAAGTGATGCTATTTTCATCCCTGAAAAGCTTATCTGAATTTAGCATTGCTTTCTCTCTCTTTCTTTTTTCTTTTCTCTTTTTTCTTCTCTCTTTCTTAATGAAACTGAGTCAAATGACTCATTTCCCACAGATACCTCTCTTCTCTTTCCTCTAGTTTAGCAGCCTAACCCCAAGGTTTATGCCTCAGGTCTGTAAGGATACAGATCATGCTATTTTTACTAAAAGGGTTTCCTTTCCTCCTCCTATGCAGATCCACAAGATGCATTCTTTCTTGGACTACATCATGGGTGGCTGCCAAATCCAGTTTACAGTAAGTTGTGTTTTTGTTCATTCTTATTCAGGGAGCTTGGTCTGGGGCATGAGGAGACACAAGTCTATTAAAGCACGAGATCAGCTTTGTTCAATTCTCATTGCTGAAACATGGTGTGGTCACATGTTTTAAAAATAAGTTCATAATTCTGTTTTCCCCAGTGACTATGGTTTTCAGCATCGTGTCAGGAAATTCATGTTGCTCCACCACAGATGGTTTGGGAAACCATCCTAATGCTTCCCATTCTCTCAGTAATTACGTGGGGCATTAGGTAGTAGGTATAGTGCCATACCCCATCTCCTAGTGGGAAGGAAGTAAACCAGGTTAGTGAGTCACAGTGAATGAGGGTGGGCATCTTTGTTGCATTCATGCAGCCAGAACACAAACACCAATGTCATGTCCAATGGTTAGTACCAGGAGTAAGCCATCCAAATGGTTCATCTGGCAATAAAAGGGTGAATTCTAAAAGATTGGAGAACCAGGCCATAAAGTTGACAAATACATTGAGTACATAGTTTAAGTGGGTGGATTGAGGTCATTTCTTACATGAACTCTATACGCCCATGGGATTTACACACTCCATATTATGCATTTTGGTGGGTGGGCTGGGTGTTTTTAAAGGTCCCAGGTAGGCAAAATTTGTGAGTCCATCTGCTCTGGAAAAAACTTATTCCTAGGTTTGTGCAGATGTGCCCTCCAGAAAGAGATTCCCCAGATGGCAAGAGATAGCTCTGCTAAACCCTATGGGAAAGCAACATGGATGTAAACAAAACAAGTACAATCTGTGCCATGTGGATAGATTACAGAAGTGTACTCATGAAGTATAACCCTCTTTAGCTCCCTAAACTAGCTCTATCATGTGAGGAAGGCAAGAAAAAAATGGGTTTAATTTTTTTGTCCAGATTTGAGCCCAAGACAGTAGATAGGACCAGTGTATTCTGGTGACCAGGGATAGTGGTCCTCAAAGCACTAAAAGTGAAAGTTCCAAGGGGATGATAAAGGGACCTTTTGATAGGTCAGTCTCTCCCTAGCTTAAGACTTGTCCTCTGCTATAAACTCAGGTGGATCTACTTATGTCCTGTCTAAACTTGGGGGTATTGTTCATTTACCACTCAATAGTTACAGCAGTTAATTATAGAATTTGGTCATTTCTTTTGGGTGTAAGGTTCTTTAAAGACACACTCACTCCACCCTCCTACATGCACACTGGCACATACAGAAGATAGCAAACATTTTGGTTGTGGCACACACATCTAGCTCTAGCTGTCCTCTGGGTTCTTTGTCACTCTGAGTGTATACAAATGCAGTAGAAAAACCAGCAATGTCACAAAGGAGAGCCACTGGAAATAGTGTCCCAAGATCTTAGGCAAAGGAGTGATTTCAGGAAACTATTTATAGGTTTTCAAGGGAAAGATCTATTGACTCGGGTTTGTTTTAGATTCTATAGATCCCATGCTCTTGAACAACACTTTGTTCAATCTTCAGGACCTTGCTTTGCCCTTGGAGTTGTGCTGCAAAGAATCAGCCCCTATAAAAACCAGAAATTTAACTCCACAGAGTTCTGGAAATATCCTAACTTAGAGAGGTCAGAATAGCCTTCCTGACACAGAACAATTGCCCTCTCAGCTTTGATATTCCCTCTTATTTTTGTTGACTCTCCCCAACTGGGAGGTGCCACCTTAATGAGTCTCATCACCACCACCCCCAGTTCCAGCTTCTCAGACCCTCCCATGTCAACTGAGTGAGTCTGGAGCAAGGAATGGGAAGAGGAGAATGTACAGATAAATGCTGAGAAGAGGACAGGCCATCATCATTGTCTGCCACAAAACCCTTCTCCCGTAGGTGTTCACGCTGGGCCTCAAAAGAAGGTTGCTAAGCATTCCATTTTGAGCTTTCTACTAAAGACCACACACACACCAATCACTTCAATGTCACTTTCTTCCAAAATTAAGTCAGCTTTCTCATTAATTTCTATTGCTCAAGCAGTACAATCTAATATAAAATACATTTATTATCTGTAATGAAAACTATTAATAAAAATTAGCATGTCTTATTAATTTGGTCTATAAGCATTTATTATCTGTCCAGTAATTTTTGGCAACATAAAAGAAAGTGGTGAGGGATGAGAAATAAGAAGGCAGAGCAGAGAGCCAGGGGGAGAGATGTTTTGTTGCAGTCAGAAATTCTCATCAGCATAGAAATGAATAAAATCCAGCAGATGAACTTTCTGTCTCCCTGGAGACCTTCAGGAGCCAGCAGTGAAATAAAGTTCCAGATGTTTCCTCCATTTTTGCCCCTTCTTCACCTCTCTGCTGTGCCTCAGGAGGTCTTCTTCTTTGGATGCACTAGCCAGGCTCTCCTGGTTTTGGTTGGCTCTGACCAATGGGAAGAACCAATCAGAGATCAACGAATGACAGGGGAGAGAAGTTGGGACACTCAGATCTCTGTCTGTCAGGCTGTGGTTTGGCAGTGACCGTGTCCTCTACAGGTCACAGTTTCTGTCCGGTGCCCTGTCCTGCAGGTAGTATTCTTACTAAGTTCTAGTAATGGCTTCTCCCTACTCTTTCTAGTCAGTCTCCCTTAACCTCTTTGAATTGTCTTTTCATGAAACTCTCCCTTTTGAGTTGGCCATTCATTTCCCATCAAAACTCTCACCAATGCACATTACGAACAGGGGCAAGGGGAAAGCCTTTTCACCTTCCACAGATGCCTGGTGTTTCTGGTTCAACCCTCACCTTTCCCTTCGGTGCCTGGCTGAGGTATACCAGGTGTTCAAAATACTTTTGTTGAATAATAATGGATTGAACCCAAACTCATCCAGAAGAGATAAGGCTTAGGGAAAAGAAGAAATCAGATGACTAAATATAATACTAGGTTTTTGCTTTAAAAAGCTCCCCTATGAACTTAAATGTTTATGCAGCTGTATCCCAATAATACTGCAATCTTACTATGAATGAACAGGCTATATTTAAGGAAATGTTGGGGAAGGGGTTTGAAGTAAGAACCTGAGAAGCTTTAAGGTAATTTGCTGGATAAGTAAATATTCAATAGACTCTTGAGATGGACATTGAAGCAGTCAGCCACATGCTTCAGGGAAAGAAATCTGGGAGTGTTTGGTGAAAGGCACCGGTAGTGGTGAAGGGGCTTTGAAAGATGGAGCAAGAAGAACTTCAGCCCATTGCAACAGTCCTGGGGACAGGTAATGAGAGGCTAAATCAGAAGGCCAACAATACTAAGAGAAAAGCAACAGAGAATGAGTCCAGTCTTCTGTGCCTGACTGACCAAGCATGGCGGTCCTGCTCATGGAAGTAGGGAACCCCAGAGGAGCTGCTGGACAAGATGATGAATTGTCTGTGGACAGGTTGGCAGTACCTTTTATTTTTAGCTGCTGTGCCATGTGCCAAGTATATTGAACTCAATATGTAAATATAGCACTTTATAAATATGACCTAGGTTTTAGGAGAGAGGTGGAAGTGGCACATTATATGGGTCTGGATGAGATGGCCAAAAAGAAGACTACAGAAAGCAGAGGCTCATGACCAAAAATTATAGAAGACTTGCACATGATAGCCAGAGAAAGAAGGGCGAACGGGAAGAAAAGAGATGCCGGAGGAAAAGGCCCAGGAGGAAACGCTAACTCAAATGATCAGGAGAAAGAGGTTACAAAATCAAAGATGCTAATCCCATAATCTAAAGAAAAATCTGTGAAGAATAAAAACCAATGACTGGCTTGTGTGATGAATAGGTACATATCATCTTTGAAAGAGCAATTTCAGCAGAATGAGATAGGGGAGACTCAGGAGTTACAGTGTACTCAGAAGGGAAGGAAGTAAACACAGCAGGATACACCCCTTCATTCAACACAGATGACAGTAAAGGGAAGGCAAGAGGGGAAATAGGATGGCACCTTGAAGATGAAAAGAGGGGAGGTTTTAGGCTAGAATTTGACCATAACAGAGGACAAGGCCCAGTGGAGAAAAGGAGACACATGATGCTAAAAAAAACAGTCCTAGTCAACAATTCTTATTCTTTTTTGGTCACCTGGGCCACTTAGGAATCTGATACAAGATCTATATCATCTCACTGGAAAATGCACACACTCAGTTTTGCACACTATTTTGGGAGGTCAAGGACGCCCTGGAGGACAATCCTTGTTCCCGCTGTGAATCCTCGAGTCATAAGGACTCGAGGGCAACTATCTCCTCACAGGCACGGAGAAGGTGGGCACGGGTGAAACAGAGGCTGCAGGGAGAGAGATGAGTTCAATATGTTTGGCACATGGCACAGCAGCTAAAAATAAAGCTAGATACTAGAATTTCGCACACAAAATACAAAATTATAGACAGCTCAGAAGAGACAGACACCAGAAGGTATTTGGAAAGAAAATGGTAAAAGAATTACATGTTTCCTTTGAAAGTTATTGCTTTGACAATGCAGGAAAATGTTCATTGTAAAGCAGATTTTCACAGAAACAAGTTGTAAGCAACCTATATGTCCAACAGTAAGATAATGGCTATGGAAATCAAGGTACCTCCTTTAAGTGGACTATGGCAAGGCTATTTTAAGTGAAAAGAAAATTATAATGACTTGCGCCAAAGCCGGATTGGCCCAGTGGTAGAGCGTCGGTCTGCGGACTGAAAGGTCCCAGGTTCGATTCCCATCAAGGGCATGTACATTGGTTGTGGGCACATCCCCGGTAGGGGGTGTGCAAGAGGCAGCTGGCCGATGTTTCTCTCTCATCGACGTTTCTAGCTCTCTATCTCTCTCCCTTCCTCTCTGTTAAAAATCAATAAAATATATATATTAAAAAAAAGAAAAGAAAATTATAATGACTTGGAATAACATGGGAACATGTTTATGACATTGGGCTAAGTGGAAAAAAAAAAGAATATAAAGCAGAGTCACCCTATGATTATAATACAATGATGTAAAATGTGTAAAACATTTGTCTCTGTAGAGACAATAACTAGAAAGGAAAGATGACTTACGAGGCTAGTGGA